TCCAAGAGCTTCTAATCCTCACGAAATTAGAGTGCTAGCCTCAACTCTAGCTCTACATGGGAATTGCTCGTTGAATACCATAATGGAGGGATGTTTCTGGAGATCCGATATGGTGTTTGCCAACCACTATCTGAGAGATATCACCACCGAGGACGTCTCAGGTATCCACCATTTCGGTCCCATGGTCCTCGCTCAACAGTTGACAGTTCCACGGAGAAGATAAGTCTATCTTACAGATTTTATACTTATCTGATAACAGTACTAATAGCTACATGCTATCTATATATTTTGCTTAAGTTTAATTTATTATCTTAAGCTCAGTACTATGTTTTTTTATATCATACTATATATAAGCTTACAACTCCTAGGAGTTTTGCTACTATATATATGTTCAGCTTAAGTTTCATCAATCCTTAAGCTCAGTCATATGGTCATATGCATAAATGTATTAGCTAACAAACTCTAAGGAGTTGGTTACTATTATACAGCTTAAGTTATAATTATATCTTAAGCACAGTACTATACTATTATAGCTTAAATATATGCATATCTTAAGCTTAATACTTTGGTTAATTTATAAAAGTATCCACTATAAACTCACAGAAGTTTATACTATCACATTAATAGCTTCAGCTTACATTAATGTTGTATATACTTTTATCATATTCAATAAATTGTAATAACCTTTATATGGCAGCTGATAAGTTAAACAGCAGGAATTCATCAGTTCAGTGCCTTTATGAAGTTCCCATAGGGTTATTACAATCATCACAGTTCAAATCACTAATTATTAAAATCCAAAGTATATATATTCCCACCTCCTTTTCCGTCGGATTCTACAAGCAATAAGCATGAGTCAGGATAAGGAAAAATATGAAATTTTTAGAGTAAAATTAATATTTTATACTTATCCTGACTCATGAGGTAAGCCCTCCCGTCCTCCCCACTTAGCACTTTGGATTTCTTCGGAAAAATAAAGTGTCGGGCTCGAAACAAAAGGAGAGAGTGAGGCACATGGGTTCAGGTGGCGCCGTCGTTCCCGCGCTTGTGGAAGGGAGGTAACTCGTGGTGAGTGCTGGTTGGTGATTTTTTAATTGAAGGGAACTTCAATTGGGAGATACACGTGTTCCACTATGTTCGCAAGAAGAAGACAAGCAATAAGCATGAGTCAGGATAAGTATAAAATATTAATTTTACTCTAAAAATTTCATTTTTCCAATTTGAGTCACATGCCTAATCAGACATCAAGTGAAACCTGTTTCATCTCCAAATGAAGACATCAGCAAATACAGCCCATTATGTATTTAACACTCCTTGTTATATCCTCCTACATCAGCAAATACAGCCCATTATGTATTTATCACTCCTTGTTGTATCCTCCTACATCAGCAAATACAGCCCATTATGTATTTAGCACTCCTTGTTATATCCTCCTATATCAGCAAATACAGCCCATTATGTATTTAGCACTCCTTGTTATATCCTCCTACATCAGCAAATACAGCCCATTATGTATTTAGCACTCCTTGTTATATCCTCCTACATCAGCAAATACAGCCCATTATGTATTTAGCACTCCTTGTTATATCCTCCTACATCAGCAAATACAGCCCATTATGTATTTAGCACTCCTTGTTATCTCCTCCTATATCAGCAAATACAGCCCATTATGTATTTAGCACTCCTTGTTATATCCTCCTATATCAGCAAATACAGCCCATTATGTATTTAACACTCCTTGTTATATCCTCCTACATCAGCAAATACAGCCCATTATGTATTTAGCACTCCTTGTTATCTCCTCCTATATCAGCAAATACAGCCCATTATGTATTTAGCACTCCTTGTTATCTCCTCCTATATCAGCAAATACAGCCCATTATGTATTTAGCACTCCTTGTTATCTCCTCCTATATCAGCAAATACAGCCCATTATGTATTTAACACTCCTTGTTATATCCTCCTACATCAGCAAATACAGCCCATTATGTATTTAGCACTCCTTGTTATATCCTCCTACATCAGCAAATACAGCCCATTATGTATTTAGCACTCCTTGTTATATCCTCCTACATCAGCAAATACAGCCCATTATGTATTTAGCACTCCTTGTTATCTCCTCCTATATCAGCAAATACAGCCCATTATGTATTTAGCACTCCTTGTTATCTCCTCCTATATCAGCAAATACAGCCCATTATGTATTTAGCACTCCTTGTTATCTCCTCCTATATCAGCAAATACAGCCCATTATGTATTTAGCACTCCTTGTTATATCCTCCTACATCAGCAAATACAGCCCATTATGTATTTAGCACTCCCTTGTTATCATATCAGCAAATACAGCCCATTATGTATTTAGCACTCCTTTGTTATCTCCCTCCTATATCAGCAAATACAGCCCATTATGTATTTAGCACTCCTTGTTATATCCTCCTATATCAGCAAATACAGCCCATTATGTATTTAACACTCCTTTTGTTATATCCTCCTACATCAGCAAATACAGCCCATTATGTATTTAGCACTCCTTGTTATCTCCTCCTATATCAGCAAATACAGCCCATTATGTATTTAGCACTCCTTGTTATATCCTCCTACATCAGCAAATACAGCCCATTATGTATTTAGCACTCCTTGTTATATCCTCCTACATCAGCAAATACAGCCCATTATGTATTTAGCACTCTTGTTATATCCTCCTACATCAGCAAATACAGCCCATTATGTATTTAGCACTCCTCTTGTTATATCCTCCTACATCAGCAAATACAGCCCATTATGTATTTAGCACTTGTTGTTATCTCCTCCTATATCAGCAAATACAGCCCATTATGTATTTAGCACTCCTTGTTATATCCTCCTACATCAGCAAATACAGCCCATTATGTATTTAGCACTCCTTTGTTATCTCCTCCTACTCAGCAAAATACAGCCCATATGTATTTAGTGCAAATACAGCAAATACAGCCTATGTATTTAGTAACTCCTTTGTTATATCCCTCCTACATCAGCAAATACAGCCCATTATGTATTTAGCACTCCTTGTTATCTCCTCCTATATCAGCAAATACAGCCCATTATTTGTAGCACTCCTTTCCTATATCAAAGCAATACAGCTCACAAGTGTATTTGGTGAATACCCTGTATGTATTATATCTCCTACATCAGCAAATACAGCCCATTATGTATTTAGTACTCTCCATTGTTATATCCTCCTACATCAGCAAATACAGCCCATTATGTATTTCAGTGCACTTATGTTATATCCTCCTACATCAGCAAATACAGCCCATTATGTATTTAGTACTCCTTGTTATATCCTCCTACATCAGCAAAATACAGCCCATTATGTATTTAGCACTTTGTTATATCCCTCCTATATCAGCAAATACAGTTATGTATTTAAGCACTCCCCTTGTTATCTCCCTCCTATATCAGCAAATACAGCCCATTATGTATTTTAACACTCCTTTTGTTATATCCTCCTATATCAGCAAATACAGCCCATTTATGTATTTAAATACCCTTGTTATCTCCTCCTATATCAGCAAATACAGCCCATTATGTATTTAACACTTCCTTGTTATATCCTCCTACATCAGCAAATACAGCCCATACAGCCCTTGTATGTATTTACAGCCCATTATGTATTTTAGCACTCCTTGTTATATCCTCCTCAGCCCATATGTATGATCAGCAAATACAAGCCCATTATGTATTTAGCACTCCTTTGTTATCTCCTCCTATATCAGCAAATACAGCCCATTATGTATTTAGTAATCCTTTGTTATATCCTCCTACATCAGCAAATACAGCCCATTATGTATTTACACTCCTTGTTATATCCTCCTATGTCAGCAAATACAGCAAATTATGTGTTTAGCACTCATGTTATCTCCTCCTACATCAGCAAATACAGCCCATTATGTATTTAGCACTCCTTGTTATATCCTCCTACATCAGCAAATACAGCCCATTATGTATTCCTTGTTATAGCCTCCTACATCAGCAAATACAGCCCATTATGTATTTAGCACTCCTTGTTATATCCTCCTATATCAGCAAATACAGCCCATTATGTATTTAGCACTCCTTGTTATCTCCTCCTATATCAGCAAATACAGCCCATTATGTATTTAGCACTCCTTGTTATATCTCCTCCTATATCAGCAAATACAGCCCATTATGTATTCCTTGTTATATCCTCCTATATCAAATACAGCCCATTATGTATTTAGCACTTGTTATCTCCTCCTACATCAGCAAATACAGCCCATTATGTATTTAGCACTCCTTGTTATATCCTCCTACATCAGCAAATACAGCCCATTATGTATTTAACACTCCTTGTTATATCCTCCTACATCAGCAAATACAGCCCATTATGTATTTAGCACTCCTTGTTATATCCTCCTACATCAGCAAATACAGCCCATTATGTATTTAACACTCCTCCTACATCAATACAAATACAGCCATTATACTCCTTATTATATCCTTCTACATTAGCAAATACAGCCCATTATGTATTTAACACTCCTTGTTATATCCTCCTACATCAGCAAATACAGCCCATTATGTATTTAGCATTCTTGTTATATCCTCCTACATCAGCAAATACAGCCCTTTATGTATTTAGCACTCCTTGTTATATCCTCCTATATCAGCTATCCATATCCACCTTTTCCAAAACTTGTTCCCTCTGATATGCATGGGTCACAGGATGTACACAGGGTGTTTTTTGAGGGAAATAAACTTCTAGGCAGTAGTGTAAATTAGTTTCCAACATAGATAACACTTCTTACAGTCCTACAAACTGCGTAATATCCACAGTTGACTCTTGTTTGTATTTGATACATACTTTCTAATGTTTCATATGTACCCAGAAAACTGATATTGACCATCAAAAAGACATGCAGGTATATACATCTTTAACACATGTTTTCAATTGTCTTTCCTTTGAATACTTAAATATTTGATCCGTTTCCTTTGAGCAGGTTCGATCAGGAAGCTTGAAGCGTGAGAAATCTACAGTGGGAGTGGAGGTTAGTGAGGATGACAGACAGGCTATGACGCGCCAACTGGTTCGGCAACAGGAGAACCTGAAGAAGAAAATGGTGGAGGAACAAGAGAGACAAGAGCAGATGGTAATTTACCATACAGATTACACATTGCCCATGCGACATGAATTTACAATCTAAATAGCCCTAAGAGGATTATATTGTACAATCATTTTGTTGATGATGAAAAGCATGAACACTTGAAAACAACTCTTCATCTTTATGCACCAGATGCTATGGGGTTTTTCTCATGCAGCTAAATGCACTGCCAGGTTATATTTCACGTAATTAATCTTGAAGTCATTTAATTCATGCAGCTGTTTGTATATGTCCACTCACACCTGGAACTCCAAGTCATAAAGGTTTTTGTCAAAGTTGTGATATCCATCACAGAGTTGGCAATCTGTAAGGTAATCAAAAGCTAAAATGAAATTTAGAATTGGTCAGGACCAAGAGAGATCACTGTTGCTCCTGAATATACTGAACAAAATTAAAACCCAAGGGAGAAATAATCTGCTCTACTTTTAAATGTTGACTTTACATTTTGTGCAGTGAAAATTGACCCTTCTACAACATGAAGATTTCACATATTGAGAAACATTATTTATTGCAATAGCAATCCACATAGCTATGGAGTTGACTCCCTGCCAGGAGTATACTTTCCTCTGAGTCTGTTTTGATAGATATGTGAAGCAACACACCTTTTCTTTCATTTGGGAGTACTAAAAATGGTGTTGGCAGGTTAGGGTAATGACCTTGACACTTTTGATAGCATAGAGACAGCTGGTGTAAGTTCCAAGTTAGACTGGTCTGTCTGCCCTACAGCACTTTCACTCCTCACGTCACTATAAGGAGACAGGTCAGGGGTGTTGTTTCAGGGAGGTATTCCTCCTGGTAGATTTGTAGTGTCACTCCTTGACACAAGACAAGATAGGTCAGCATTTACAGAAGTGGCGTCAAGTCCAAAATGGTGAAACGTTTCGTTCAGTAAGGTGTAACAAACAGGCTTCAAATGTTCCCAAAGTATCACATATTGTGATGAGCCACTGTCATTGTCAGCCATGATGGAACATGCCACCAGGAGGTGATACTCAGTATGAGAGTTGTTTCCCCTTGTAATGTGTGCTATCTCCCAATGAGACCCTTGCTGAATGTTGCAGGTGTCACATGAGTTCCACCATTACATCTTTGCCTTAATTTTCTCATTTTTACATGCAATCTACATACACGAAGAAAAGCAAAAACACAGGCAATTTTGGAGTTGATATCTATTAACATGTTGTCTCCAAACTTCAGATAAAATCATTTTTAAGAAGTTACACAGTTTAGATACTCCATATCTATACAACAAGATGTTTTTTTGGAGAATTTAGGTTTACATTCTCCCATTTTTTATGTTAAAACTGCACAGGTATTTTAGATGATGCAGACATGAAACAAAAAGTGTTGAATCACCAACTAAAAAAATATACTTAGAAGTAATTGAAAATGACCCTTTGCAATGCTGTCAAAAGGACCAAGCATCACAGAACTGTGTTCAAAAATAGATTTGACAGCTTTGGTATTTTTGCTCCTCATTCAGAGATTAACTGGCTAAAACGTTCCATCCATTTCACTGATATAGAAAGGGTATAATTATCTGTATATTCACTTTGCTAATGCACAATAGACCCTGACAGTTTGTAAACAAAGCTCAGTGTGTTACTTTCACCTACATACATGGACAAGAAAAGATGTATACTTACACATTCTTCATGATAGCAACTACTTGTAAATACAACCTTAAAATGTCATTTTGACCTTTATCAGTACTGGAACATTCCCTTGCAAAACAGAGAAAGAAAGTATGTGGCACAATGTCCAATTTTGTAGAAGATCGGTGGAAATTCATATCACTGACAGAAGATCTGGTCAGATAAAGGTCAACTCACTCAAAACTTAAACTGCATGTACTATGGAAATAAATATTAACTTATCCTCATCTTTGATATTGCATCCAGTACTCTCTGAAAATAGCTTCCGGGCCAATTGCATGATCCAAATGTGGAAGACATGCTTTTAGTCATGACAGAAATGTACTTTTACACTGTGAGGATATGGGCTGTGTATTGACAAATAAATCGTATTGCAATATATTGCAGTCCAGGCACTCATATTGCGATATATTGGGAACTTGTTTTGTTTGACAGTAAGTGACACTATTTGTGCATGTCAATCCTATTTTCTACATTATAAGTCCTTAAACATATATGCTATGGTTCTGATAACAGCAATCTAAAAATTAGGTTGCATAGTCAGGGATTCTGTTTTATACAATTTATAGTATTACAGTTGGCCGTCTTGTCATTGAATAATGAAGGAAAACATATGTTGTGAATCAAAGTCTTTGTTGATTTTAAGTTAAACCATAAAGATAATCACAAAAACTTCATATATGTTCTTTACCTAATGTACCGGTTCTCAGAACAAATATTGCAAATACGTATCGTTTGAAAAGCGTATTACGATATACTGGTAATACAATATACCGGTATACTTGTAATACTGTGCAGTCCTAGTGAGTATTATATAAATGAGTTCTTCTCAACCTTCTTTGACAAACAAGATGTTGAAAGTTACTTCAAATTGAACTTTTGGAAGAGACCAATATGCTTTCACAAATCTGGAATTGTAAGCCAGACTACTTGGGAAAGTGTATCATCTTTATTCTGTAAATATGTCCTACACCTGAAAAATGTATTAGGCACCCCCTCTTTTCATCTGCTGTGCAGCAATAGCCATGATTTATGTTCACAGGTGATACAGAATATATACAGGTGTGTGTTATTGGGGCTCATACATATATTAGTGTACAGTCAGGCTGCGTTAATCCGAACAGTGCCGTTTTCATACAAAATGTTCAGATAGTGAAACGTTCGGTTTGCTTAAAACAAGTCCAGTACACCACACTGCAGTGGCATAAGTAAACATCAAGACAAGATCAAGACAAGTAAAGACAAGATTATTTACCTATTCAGTTTGTGACGTGAGTAGACCCAATATGTTATATGGCTAGTGTTAGGCAATATGGGGGCTGTATGTACAGCCGGATTAATGAAGCAAAAACAAGTACAATTAGCTAATCCGTTACCAATAATTGATGTTCAGTGACTGAAGCATCATATTAATGAATCAACAATTGATGTGTTTACATAGTAAACAAGATTGGTTACACCTTGAGTCGGCATGGGAATCGCATTATCGGGGACCGGACTAAAAAATGTGGCCAGACTGTATATACTTTATTCATGTAACATCAAGGGTATTGTCAATGTTTGGATGTACATTCTAGAGGAAATAAAGACATTCATTCATTCATTCATTCATTGCAGACTGTTAAAAGTCTTGTATATATAGGAAACCTAAGAAAATGAACATATTGAGGTTCATCTTAACTGAGAACCTTGGGCTTGGCAGTTGCTTCTTGTGCAATATTTGTCTTAAATAAGGTAACAGCTTTGGAAAATCAGAACAGCTGATGTAAGAAAATCTTACTGAGTTCAATGTTGAAGACTTTATTCATGTTGAAATGTTTTACAGTAACACCGATGTCTGTCTCAGCCAAATTATGGTCAACTTGAAACACCCTTTGTTTTGACCAGGTTAAACATCGCCTGGAGCAGAAGCGTGGCAAGTTAAAGAATGAAGCAGCAGAGTTATACAGTCTTGGAGAGAGACAGAAAACTATCTTGGAGAAGTCTCAGAAGGTAGGTCAAGTGTACCCAAAATATTAGGTGTGTTGTGTTTTCTCTATTCAGTTCATCATTGGCCATGTAGGTAGCTGTGGTGGGTATTGGCCATGTTGGTAGCTGTGGTGGGTATTGGCCATGTAGGTAGCTGTGGTGGGTATTGGCCATGTAGGTAGCTGTGGTGGGTATTGGCCATGTTGGTAGCTGTGGTGGGTATTGGCCATGTTGGTAGCTGTGGTGGGTATTGGCCATGTTGGTAGCTGTAGGTGGTGTATTGTATGATGTTGGTAGCTGTGGTGGGTATTGGCCATGAAGGTGGGTATTGTCCATGTTGGTAGCTGTGGTGGGTATTGTCCATGAAGGTATGAGGGTGTGGTGGGTATTGGCCATGTTGGTAGCTGTGGTGGGTAATGGCCATGAAGGTAACTGTGGTGGGTAACTGTGATGGGTATTGGCCATGTTGGTAGCTATGGTGGGTATTGTCCATGTAGGTAACTGTGATGGGTATTGTCCATGTTAACTGTAGTGGGTATGTCCATGTAGGTAACTGTGATGGGTATTGTCCATGTATGTAGGTAACTGTGATGGGTATTGGCCATGTAAGGTAACTGTAGGTGGGTATTGTCCATGTTGGTAACTGTGGTGTGAGTATTGGCCATGTAGGTAAGGTTAACTGTGATGGGTATTGTCCATGTAGGTAACTGTGATGGATAGCTTGGTGGGTATTGTCCATGTAGGTAACTGTAGGTATTGTCCATGTAGGTAACTGTAGTGGGTATTGTCCATGTAGGTAACTGTAGTGGGTATTGGTAGGTATTGTCCATGTTAGGCAACTGTAGTGGGTAACATCCTGTAGGTAACTGTGATGGGTGTTGTCCATGTAGGTAACTGTAGTGGGTATTGTCCATGTAGGTAACTGTGATGGGGTATTGTCCATGTTAGGTAACTGTAGTGGGTGTTGTCCATGTAGGTAACTGTGATGGGTATTGTCCATGTAGGTAACTGTAGTGGGTATTGTCCATGTTGGTAACTGTGATGGGTATTGTCCATGTAGGTAACTGTACTGGGTATTGTCCATGTAGGTAACTGTGATGGGTATTGTCCATGTAGGTAACTGTGGTGGGTATTGTCCATGTAGGTAACTGTGGTGGGTATTGTCCATGTAGGTAACTGTGATGGGTATTGTCCATTTAGGTAACTGGTGAAGTGGGTATTGTCCATGTGATGTAGGTATGTACCATGTAGGTAACTGTAGTGGGTATTGTCCATGTAGGTAACTGTGATGGGTATTGTCCATGTAGGTAACTGTGATGGGTATTGTCCATGTAGGTAACTGTGATGGGTATTGTCCATGTAGGTAACTGTAGTGGGTATTGTCCATGTAGGTAACTGTGATGGGTATTGTCCATGTAGGTAACTGTGATGGGTATTGTCTGTAGTGGGTATTGTCCATGTAGGTAACTGTGATGGGTATTGTCCATGTAGGTAACTGTAGTGGGTATTGTCCATGTAGGTAACTGTGATGGGTATTGTCCATGTTGGTAACTGTAGTGGGTATTGTCCATGTAGGTAACTGTGATGGGTATTGTCCATGTAGGTAACTGTGGTGGGTATTGTCCATGTAGGTAACTGTAGTGGGTATTGTCCATTTAGGTAACTGTGGTGGGTATTGTCCATTTAGGTAACTGTGGTGGGTATTGCAGGTAACTGTGATGGGTATTGTCCATGTAGGTAACTGTGATGGGTATTGTCAGTAACTATGCCATTACTGCATGTAGGATGAGCGGGACCGCCAGCTGGCCCTGATGGTGGAGAGGAAGAACCGAGTGTTGTATGAACGCACCAGGACACAGCGCAGCGCCACCTCTCCTGACAGTAGTGGTTTTGAGAATATTGTCAAGAATGAAGGACTTAATCTGACCACTGATGAGAAAATGGAACTGGCAGCACAGCAGCTACAAGAAAAGTTTCAAAGAGAGGCTGAAACTCACGTGGTAGGTGATGGATACAAAAACATGATCTTCACACTGGTATAACATCTTTCTCAGTAAAGTTCAGATTCTAGTACTTTTGGGGTTTGAGTCACATCCAAGATTCGAACCAACACTGGGCACCTGGATCCGGTTGTATCATTGCTTCATTAACTAATGTCAACGTTAAACCCTAATGATACATTAAATCCTTAATGCATCATTAGTTAACGGCATCATTAAAAACGATTGTATCAAGCACTTATTAGCATATCATTATCTAATGATGTCTTAATGTAAATATTTTCATAAACTCAGGGATTCCCCTACATATTTCCCACAATTCCACGCCGTAAACATGTAAGCGTTACTCTCGGTCGTCTGTCAAAATGGCATCTTTACGGCTAAACCTCGGAACAAAAACATTGATTTCAACTACAGTGAAGAAACACATCTCAATAATTCTGAAACATCGCCGATAAACCTAGAATCGGTTGGGATGTTTTGGAAAATACATGAATACGATCGCCGAAGTGAGCTTTCCGCCATATTGGATAGTGTTTACAAAATCAAGTTTCGCCAAGGCCGGTCATAGGACACGTATATTTCATATTCAGTTGTGACAAATGCATCGGTGAATTCCTCATACATTGTAGAATCAACGTACAAATGGTCTCTGTCACTAAAACCAAGTGTCTAGACAAAAACGAAATATATTGGGTGTGAAAACGGAAAATTGTGCTAATAACACAGCTCTTGCTAGAAATGTAAACAAAGCAAAAATCAGATATTATACTGTGCAGCATTTTCTCAATTTGTAGATATCAGTTTGTCTACTCGTAGCATGCATGAGCTCAATAGTTTTAGAATATGCACGGAAAGAGTTTCATAGCAAGAACTAGAAAATTAAAAACGGATACAATACAGTAGTCTTGATATATTCATACGAAAGTTCTGTGCAGCGTGATGCCATGCCAGACGCAAACTCACTGAGAACGACATAGGCAATTATCGGCATTTCTGGCTTTTTCAATGAAAGCAATAAAAAACAAATAATCATACCCAGATAGTCAGAATGTTTCTGATTACTCACATCATACATTTATGGACAAAGGTACCCTCGCAAAATCGTGGGCACCCATAGGTCTATCCACGAAGCCGCCATTTCATGAGATCATGAGAAATCGGTCTTCAGTAGTGATGTCATACGTCAACATTGTAGTACATATTTGAGGTGAAGGTCGGTTGAATAAGAGTAAACACAGTCACACTGTCCTGCGGATTACACTTTTAGTATTAATGTATAATTTGCGTATTGTTCAGATATGTTTCATGAAACTAATTTCATTACTAACATTTAGTATTTTAAACCTAAGTAAAACTGACAAAATAGATAACAACGATTTAAATGAAATGTATATGCATACATTCTTAAAGGAATTGTCTTGTTCAATCAATTTGTTTATGTTGTTTTATAAACAAAACAATGACATATAATTATTGGTCAGGTGCGCGTTTGTCACAACTGTTTTCAATATCATTGTTTTCGATAATACCATGAACAATACATCACGGAAATATAGTGTCCTTATCCACGGCAAATTCTCTCAAAGTGATCTGAGTTACAATGACTAATTGTTAAGCATAGCGGAGTGATGCCCCCTTATCTTTATAAGCGTATGAACTTTTGTAGTGATGTGACGTCATAGAGGAAAATCCATTTTCAACACATATTGCGAGTCATTTTTAAGATTGAGTGTATAACGTTATACATAAGCACACAAACCAATTTGATGCATATCTATGTCGTTCAGATATCAGACAGTATTTTGTTCGTTCACACGTTCCGTAAAGATGCCAAATTAAAAATATAGTAGCACAGTACTTTTATTAGTGCACGATAAACAGCGGAGACATTTACTGTTTATAACGCATAGCAAAATTCGGGATAACATATAGCAATGTCTCTTTTTCAAACAGCCTAAGTATTTGCACTTGAATTTACACTATGGTATAGGCAATTTAATATTCTACATTTCTGTGTAATTGTACAGCTGTAGGTAGATCCAATGCTGCTCAAACGAAATTCTGGCACAACGTACACTTTTTCCAGGAAGTTAATGACGCTCTAATGATAGCCCAGAACCTTCATTAAGTTAATGATGCGCTAATGACAACACGACATCATTAAAACGTTAGTACAACAGAATTTAACTATACATTATTTAATGAACGTTTAATGGCACCTTAATGCTTCATTAAAGTTTGATACAACCAGGTCCTGGTCATCTTCTTCACATCCCTGATCATGGTCACAAGACTGATACACCTCTGTCATTATTAATGGTTTCATCTCAAAAGGCATACATAAGCATAGAGTGAGTGAGTTGGAATTTGTTAACTCATTTGGAATATTACAGTTTTAGGACAGTATTAGAATAGAAGAAACTTGATTAAAATTAGAAGCCCATAAATATACAATATATTAAGTCTCATCATTCAAGACTGTACACTACAGGAAACAGAAGCTTACGAAAAGCACCTTACTTACAGCATGTACCGGTAGGCTTCCTGCAGGATTCCACTGCAGAATTTCTGCATCAGATCACAAGTGGTTGTATGTTAGGCTATTCACAAAACCAACACCCACAGCAATTAATACATTATGTATGTATTATATGTACATTGATCAGGAAATTACAAATTGTGGCAGAAGGACAATACTTTTACACTACTTTAACCCCCAGAGTGGCACCACCATTGGTGATCTCAGCTGATCACATGTCAACTATTCAAATTTTATCTAGCTTTCCTGTTTCCCTTGAAACCCAAAAATGAACCAGCACATTATTAGATAGATCTTTCAGAGAAATTTGCATGGTAATGGATGAAAAATGTACACATTAAAGCACATTGATGCTTGACTGTATTTCCCTTTTAACATCTTTAAATCTGGACGGAAAACCTAGATAAAACTGATAGTTTGTTGTATTGCATGTAGCTTATTTATACCTACCAGGGTGCCCCACTTCTTTTGCATTATATAGGGATAGAACTGCTGTATGGTGAAACCCTCTTATTAGGTTTTAGTTGAAATACATTGTCATGGTAACCAGCAAATTGTTGTTTCCCTATTTTGATAGGTAGTGTTTTGCAAACATGAAGCTCAACAGTTGCATTATTTGAGAAAAACATTCCACATTAAATGGGAGCACCATTTCTGTCAGATATACAGGCCATTGAAACCCTTGGAAAAAAGTGGCTACCACACCATTGCCTTGTACACTTTCACATATTCATTCTGAGTAAATGAAAGAATATCACAGAAACAAGATAGTGGGTGTGGCTGTTGTTATGTGAGTTCCAAAACCAGAAATGATACCATCAGACCAGAAGTGTGTGATTAACTGAAAAAATGACATGAGTCTTTCTTGTTTGAAGTTGAACTCTGCCAAATGTTGTAAACAGAGGAGACATCATAAGACTGGAAGTGCATACAACTTTGTTCAAAATGAAGGACATCTGATTTGAATATTGCTGTAGTAGACAGGGGTTCTTTCCAGACTGTAATCACTGTCCATCTGGAAGTGTGTATATATTACACATGAAGTGAGCTTGAGGCGTAGTGATGCTTGTGTTTCAGTCTTTGGTGCTCAGAAACATTCAATTACAATTTTGTTACTGAGATGCTTTGGTCAGTTGTGGTTTCATATTTATCATTAGTCCCTCAATTTTCTTTAAACATAATGGAAAAACAATGGAAACTGCAGCTTTTGCTAGTGACTATCATTGGTAACTTTTCAGATGTTAACTTTACATTTCCACGTGAGCAAAGATGATGTGATCATATGTTGTTTTCAAGTGAATCGGAGTATAATGTGTCTGTTTATCCAAGCTCTAGCAGTGGTGTTATTGCTCACACAGGGTTCAGGCAGTGTACTTCTGGGTGAGGAGGCCAGGTTTGAGCAGCTGAAGGCCCGGGAGACGTCGGAAGAAAGGCGACGACCAAACACAGTAACAACACCATGTTCATATGTGGACTTAATGTGGCGGAAGAGAGACCACTCAGACTGTGACATAACATGTGTGTAATGTTCCTGTAGTTGGATATATATTCAAACTTATCTTCATCGTGTATTATTGCAATTTCCACATTTTTCCGTTATATTTGCTTGTATATGATGTTACTTGTTGACGGGGAGTAACAGGTGTACTCCACTGTAAACAGACCTAATGGGTGATGGTGTATTCATGTGAGATTACTGTTTTCATACAAAGATTTGCAATTGTTTCTGGTGCAGGGAATGTTGTTACATGTACCCAGTGACACAGTGTATACAGGTATACTGATTGACTAGGATGAAACATAACATCTCTTGTATCTCTTTGCAGAAAGTCAGTAATAGATCAATATTTCCAAGTATTGTTCTTTTTCTTCAAAATGTTGGCAGCAGTAAAGTTTGTCTCATCATTTAACATATTGTGATCTGTTGTCGTACAGTTTAGTTTAAGCACAATGTTTTGCAGGCTGAAACATGAAAGTTTAGAGGAACCTATTCAATTGAATACCAAGGCCCTGAAATTAGGGCTGCAAGATGTCATTTTCTTAAAAAGTCATATTTTGATTATATGCTTTTTCTATAGCGAGTCATACCATTGTTTCAGATATAGTTATGATGTATTTTGGACTGTAATATGTTAACAATGTTTCATGAACAATCATGTTTTTTATTATGTATTTAGCCATGAGATACAATATTTATTTGAAAAGTATAATCAGTATTTACCTTGATTGAAATGGCATTTATGTAGGAGCTCAGTTCAGTCTGCCTCATTGACAAAATATCATCAGTCGGTGAAATCAGTCCACACGTCTTGTCTTGTCAAGTGGTGTATCTCATCTCGTGGCGGTTCGAATCCCCGCATGGGTACAATGAGTGAAGCCCATTTCTGGTGTCCCCAGCCGTGATATTGCTGGAATATTGCTAAAAGCGGCGTAAAACCAAACTCAGTCAGTCAGTCATCTCGTGGCCCCCACATGTTGGCGTTTTACACCAGAGGCTGCACCACTCATGAAGATACCACTTAATGAGAACATGATAAAATAGCAGAACAATGCATGATGAAGTAAGTTGATCATGTCGGTGAAGCTGGTAATGATGACCTGTGTCCTCATACAGTCAGTCTAGAATATCTTGATGAGCATCCCCACATGTCGTCAGGTGCATCACGTCTTGCCACATCTGTCTGCCTACTGACAATGGATGCCACGGTCATGTCATTCTATGTGGTAAAGGGTGTTTTTATCAGCATTAATAAAGTTTTATATTCATAGAATTGTTGTTTTTTAAAGGAGTGTGAAGCCCATTTCTGGTGTCCCCCGCCGTGATGTTGCTGGAATATTGCTAAAAACGGCGTAAAACCAAACTCAGTCAGTCAGTTTTTTAAAGGAAACCCACAAATTCAAAGTCAACTTTGTGTGCAGACGCTTTCCGTGTTGTCACAACCCCTAGTGTACAGTACACAACCCTGTGCACTTAAATGAACCCACAAATCAGTTGGTATATGACCAGATGGTGGCCACATGAATACGTGCAAACACCTAGTTGTGGGTACAGCAACGTACAGTGAACTTGGACAAAGTACTGTGACTATGTGTCCCAGTCCACCCAGCTGTGAATGGGTACCTCGTTAGGACGAGAAAGCCACAAAAACTCAGTGCGCCTAGTGACAGCAAAAGTTGTATACTCTCCAGGGAGTTGAGATTGATAATATGATGTGCCGTTGAGATTGACATCCAATGATCGTGGGAAAAATACCAGCACCTTGAGCATGCACTAGTTGTGTGGATATGTGCGCTATATAAATATCCTATAATAACATGCAATTAATTTCAGATGACAAAATTAGAATTCTAGTGACATCATTTTGGTCACTAGTACATCAAATTTGGAAATGTCCTTGACACATCTACCACGAAACCTTTTGATGATGCAGCAGTTCCTGGGAAAAAACACAGATTGTGAAGCTGATCACTGACATGCTGATTGAAAAAGATTTGGATTTCAGGTGCTAATAAAAATACTCTTGTGTAACTTGAAATAACATTTATGCAATGCTAGCCATGCTTGAAAATCATTGTCTAAGCATCTTGGGAATTCTGCAGGAATGGCACTAAACAAACATGCCAAAATATTTCAGTGTTCATTGTAACACTATATGATCCCTTGGGAAACATCTGCAGCAGTGTTCATTGTACCACTATATGATCCCTTGGGAAACATCTGCAGCAGTGTTCATTGTACCACTATATGATCCCTTGGGAAACATCTGCAGCAGTGTTCATTGTACCACTATATGATCCCTTTGGGAAACATCTGTTCATTGTACCACTATAGTGTTCATTGCAGCTGTTCATTGTACCACTATATGATCCCTTGGGAAACATCTGCAGCAGTGTTCATTGTACCACTATATGATCCCTTGGGAAACATCTGCAGCAGTGTTCATTGTACCACTATATGATCCCTTGGGAAACATCTGCAGCAGTGTTCATTGTAACACTATATGATGCCTTGGGAAACATCTGCAGCAGTGTTCATTGTACCACTATATGATCCACTTATGGGAAACATCTGCAGCAGTGTTCATTGTACCACTATATGATCCCTTTGGATCCCTTGGGAAACATCTGCAGCAGTGTTCATTGTAACACTATATGATCCCTTGGGAAACATCTGCAGCAGTGTTCATTGTAACACTATATGATCCCTTGGGAAACATCTGCAGCAGTGTTCATTGTACCACTATATGATCCCTTGGGAAACATCTGCAGCAGTGTTCATTGAACCACTAGGGAAACATCTGCAGCAGTGTTCATTGTACCACTATATGATCCCTTGGGAAACATCTGCAGCAGTGTTCATTGTAACACTATATGATCCCTTGGGAAACATCTGCAGCAGTGTTCATTGTACCACTATATGATCCCTTGGGAAACATCTGCAGCAGTGTTCATTGTAACACTATATGATCCCTTGGGAAACATCTGCAGCAGTGTTCATTGTAACACTATATGATCCCTTGGGAAACATCTGCAGCAGATACACACTTGCCACATACTAATTAAAGTACTGTCGGAAATAGAAAAAAACTGTTTTTAGTCTGTTACTCTGTATCCCTAACATTTACACAATTGCAAATAGCATATGTTGAAATAACCCACTTCGGCCTAACTGGGCGTTCAGTGGGATGCGTATTACGATATCCAGAAAAGCATGTTTACTTGTAAAATCGGGCAAAACAAATACGATTAGCTGCTGAAAACAATAGATCAGACTACAGATGGCAATTAGGTCGCTCAGCTAGGTATGACGACGGACCGTCGACTCACCTGGCATGAAAGGCACGTGCTGCCTACAGGCACAAGGCGTCATCTCAAAGATATTTTGTGCTTTTTCATGTGTGTTGACTATGTCTCATCTAGTGATTAACATCTTACGTGTCTTTCTTTCGTAAAGTTTATGTTGAGATATGTAAAAGAGAATGATACCCGAAAACCATAGAAACGCATCGTACTACATAGGTGGCATGACCACCTGAAGATCGACAGGACTGGATATTATTTGTAAATTGTTATGACGTGCCGTGTACCTCCCCAGTATAATTGTCCTAAAGGATTATCTGATCTTAGCTGATATCTCTCTATCCCCCAGCCCAATCCCAGGTTTTGCTTTTGAGACGACCCCTCCTATCTGTTTCTTTTTATAGTGACAGTGAGACTCCATGATAGCTACATCCTTAATAGTTTCAGCATAAAAGTTATTATTTTTTACGTCAGCTATCGTTTATAATGAATCTACGTCTAATTTCATATTGGGCATTTAATAAGTCTCCTTTGTAAAACAATATCGTCGCACACTAATTTGCATAAAGCCATGGTCTGTTCCAAATAAGTCTTTTTGGACTTAGAAAAAAACCGCGTTGCTCATTTCTGCACAAATTTCCCCTCAGTAAAGTCCTTTTCTCCGTTTCCTATCTCTCTACCACTGCAACTGTAGTTAGGCCGAACTTAGTTTAACAGATATTTCACACTTTCACATATCAACTACATAAATTGTAGAGATAAATGAGAAAATACATTTTTTTTCTATTTCCGACAGTACTTTAGTAGCAAAATTGCACACAAGCAGTTGAGAGAACACAAAATCTGGCTTCAACATTCAGCAATACAAACAGTTTTCTTCCAGGCCAGGTCACCATCACACACACTCAGCTGAGTGAAGAGAGCAGGTACAGAAGACAAGACTAGGACAGTATATTGACCATGGAGGAGTTAGTTTCATATGGACACCCCTCTGAAAGAGTCCATAAGCATCCAGGAGAACATTTTAGCAACACTTGCGTTTCTGAGCTGTTAGTTTAGGGGTGGGAGTGTAATGGTATAGGGTGTCATCACAACATGTAGGAGAACACAACTCATCGTTGCTTATGACAATTTGAATGACACACTCTGTTAAGCCATCTGTGCAAATGCAGGGATGTAACATCCCATTGTTTAGGCATCATGACATTACTCTGCAGCCATGGTCATTTGTTTTTCAAGACCTGTCCCCAAAAGAAAATGTCTGGAATGCCAAGGAGCACTGTTTGACATGAGCAGAACCATACATAAATGTTTGCTCCATTGGACAAATCTTCAGTTGACTTTTGGAACAATATTCCCCAGGTTGTTGCCAGGAATATGGTGCCCCTGACATTGGTAACAGAGGAGTTCTACCACCCCTATTGTGGTTGATATTGCTGTCTCCTGTTACCAGGTATGGGTTTCTCAATGAATATTTTATGATGAAAGATTTATCGGAACTATTATATCTCACCTTATTTTCAACAACATAAAATGCACAGCACTTTATGTGATGCATAGTTACATTTTTGTCTGTTATCAAAAACTGCAGTGGAAATAAATCATGAATAAAAAAGAATGATAGACACTCTTATTTAGCATTTTCAGGTCAGCATATAGAACACTGATATATAATTCAGCCATAAGTGATATTTTGGAGTACATATATTTGATTGCCTTATTATATTGATAAGGCTGATTCTTTTGAATAATGTCTCCATCTGAAAGAGAAAGACTGACTGAGATGAAGTTTTAAACTGCTGGCGAAAACTAAACACACAATAAACTTCATTAGTGATGGACACACCTATAACAAACTAAAGGAACTGAACTGTTGGTCTATTTTGTTTAACAATTGTTTATTTTAGTTGAATTGCATATGGTTATAACAAACAAAACATTGTGGTCCCTTTGAGTTAATTGTAACCATAGTTTATTGAAGCACTTGCCAACAATCTGCTTGTACAGTCAGTTGCTGACACTCTGGAATCTAAAGTCCACACAACTATGTTGACCTGGTCAAGGTGACGTACCTGATTCCATGGATCAGTTGTTGTGGCATAATTGATAAAAACACAAGAACCACACAGAAGTATTTTCAGGACATTAGATCTGGTCCAGGATGCATGGTCTCTGACAAACTGAGGTACGTCTTATCAGACCTTTCTCATCTGATGCTGATATATCATCCACCTATTGTCCTTTTGTCACTGTACTTCTCAAAATGGCTGGTTGTTGTGTGTCTGTCAATATAAACATGAAGTTACACATACTATATGTATACATATCCTTCAAGGTTAACAATAGTGATATTAAAAAAGAAATGTTATTCACCTTGTAAGAGTTCTTTGGTGTATGAACCTTCTTTGGGCTGGAGGAAAACATTGCATGTCATGTCAAGCTCTGAAATTCAGCCCACAAAGTGAATGTCCATTCTTAAATGTGAGTTAGTTTAAGTAGTATATACAATGATAGTCCGAGATCACTTTCAAGAAAGGTCGCTGTAAAGCTTTATTTCATCCATAAAGCTTTTGCCAGGCCCTTAGATCTCGCCACCATTGTATATACTACTTTTGAATCCCCAGTTAACTTCCCGGCCACACGTGACACTATTGTGTCACTATGACTGCGAACTAGCACTTTCCTGATCACGTGACACTATGTCGTGTTGACCTCAATGAAACAGTTTAATGTGAATCGCCTATGATCTCTTTGGTGTTTGTAATGAAGGCTTGCTGGGCTTTTCGTACCCCCTGTTCTATGTACTTTTTTTTCTCATCTTCGCTGATAGCAGACTTAAGAGACTTGGACCGGATTTCTTGTTTCATCTTACGGTACTTGTCGAGTTCAGAGAGGATTGAACGAAATTCCTCCTCTGAGATCTTACTGTCAGTGAGTGCCGTGGAAATACGCTCACTTACCGTGTT